GAATGGTTTCCTGTATATCAAGAAAATAATGGTATGCTAGAATAGACTTAATAACTTCTAAATCAAGTTTGGGAGCACTGAGCTGATAAATCTCACCTCTTTGAGGTAAGACTTATCGGGGATTTTGTTTACAATAATGAATCAGCTCTAGAATTAATTCTATGATAACATGAAAATATGGTATGCAAAATGAGCTTGCAAAATCTCACACAGTGTACACTTGAATACTTCAGTCCTCAGTACTCTGTGTTCGATTTAAGGTCAAGCAGAATAACATACTTTTTTCGTTATATTACTTGGGATTAAAAAGAGGTCAGCATATTAACAAAGATGGTGTACATCTTAGTCTTGAAAACCTAAAATTTGGTTAAGAAGATATGTTAACTAAATTTAAGCCCTAGCTTGATTTTAAGCATGAATTCAATATTGGATTTCAATATGTTTCCTGGTATTGTAGGCTAATTTGGGGTTTAATAAAGATTTCAAAATTTTTGTATATCAGGAAAGTAACCGGGAGGCTACACACTATTTTTTATATCTATTCGAAATTTTGTCTCAGAATCCCCAAAGTTGCCTATATCCCCATTTAAAAATATTATTTAATTAAAATAATTAAATTTTATTCTAATTTAATAATTAAGTATATCATTCTAATCAAATAATAAAAATATTATTAGATTAGAATGATTAAGTATAATTATTTTAATCAAATAATAAAGGTATTATTAATTGAAATAATCATAAAAATTATTCAATTAGAATAATAAAATATATTATTTTAATTGATATATGTTATTTTTTTGAATTAAATTAATTAAAATTTCAGTTCAAATTCAGATTGACTTATAATCTTAACTAAATTAAACCATTTAAAGATTTACCTTTAATTTATAAATTCTATTAAAAACTAATTATTGATAATTATAAATTTAATATCTTTCTATTTAATTAAAGTATTTTTGAAAATTATTATTAATTTCCCATCATTTTTTATAATTAAAACATGTATCTTTTAAGTCATTTTTTTTTAAAAAAATAGATTTTAAAATAAATTTTAAGATACATTTTAAGTATTAAAAATAACATAACTTTATTTAAAATACTAAATGCGATTTACTATAACAAAATTATTATGTAAAATTATATTTAAATAATAAATCTACTATTAGTTTATAATATCGATATACTTAAATTCCTTTGATAATTAGAAATAATTTTATAAATTAATAAAATTGAGTTTTATTATTTTTTTAATTGAAAGTTTTATAATATATGTAATTTTATAAATACTATATATTAAATAATTTTTTGAATTAAATATTTTAAAAAACGATTATAGATCCATATTATATATTTCGAACAAAAACAAAAAAAAATATACTTATTTGCGAGCGGGAATTTTCTGTATAATTTATAAACAGCAAGTTACCTCGTGATTCACTTGCAACTCATGACGTGTTTTTTGGGAAAAGAGTCGAATTTAAGTTGTAAATAAAGTAATTTTTGTAGACTTCTATTTCCTTGACAACAAAGTCGGGTTATTCTATTTCTAATAGAATAAATAAAACCTTGGAATGAAATCAGCTTATTTTTGTTATTTATGTGTTTCTATGAAATATATACTCACCATAAACTAGACTTCAAGTTTCAACTTATGTTAGCGTTGAATATTTTAACGGGATCTGCTACCAAAGCATTTTCGAGTTAGTTCTCAGAGTTGGCTTACAATCGTTCGTTTTGAAAAAGGTATGTGATTAACATATCGGAGAGACTTGCTGTACGGTGTTTTTATGTTAATATGAAATCCTATTTTAAGAACACGTTTGTTGAGAGCACAACTGAGAAATTTGTCGAAAACGAATTAGAATGGAGGGTAAATGAAGAGTAGAAGAGTAGAAAAGGAGTTATTATGATTTATACTATTTTCTTTAAGTAAAGGTGGTGAAAATATCGTATTTTTAAGTAGAATTATTAGACATAATTGCAGGTAAATGATGAATTTTCCTTTCCGAATTTGAAAAATTATCGCATTATTTACACAAATTTAAAGGAATTAATGCAAAAATTAATTTTAATCAAAATTCTTTTAGAAATGAACGAAGATATAAACTTAATGATCCAAGAACATTTATAAGTAAAGTTTAATTATCGGTAAATTTATATTAGAAGAGAAATTTGAATACAAAATTAAATTATCAAAATTCAAAGGGTTTTACAAGGTGGCATTGTGTTTTATTGGATGAAAGTTCAGGCAACCGTCAACAAACCTGGTAATTATTTATCCGGTAAGAAGTACCAATGATTGATCAAAAATTACG